AAAAAAAAAAAAAAAAAAAGTAACCCTACCACAGCAAATATGTCATAGGAGCGGCTGTTTGGTCTATTTTAAAAATCCATTTACATTTCACTTCTATTTTTGGAGGAAGAAAGATTTCTTGCTGTTTTCCCTGCCTTTACTTACATTACACCCTTCCTTGGCAGAAGACTTGAAATGCACTGGTTTGGGCAGTGTGAGAATTCCCTTGACATAGATACGAGGATTTTCCCCACAGCTGGAAGGCCAGCTCAGGTCTTTGCACTGCAACATTGAAAACACAGTCAGTTTAGACATATAAGACTCTGGCCTTCAGACAACTTAGAAACAGAGAATCCTACACTGTTCTAGAATTTCTGTAATATTGACTATAAATCAGAGCAATTGTCCCTTCAGATCATTTAATAATTAATTTTCACGACGAAAGGATAAAAAGTTATTTGGTAGATTTTAATGATTTCACTGTATGGCAATTTGACAATGGATAGATCATGAAATCCCTTATGTAGTACCTATCTCTTGATGTAGTTATGAGGTTTCTGACTACTTAAAGTTCCATTACCTAAAAATCATTCACAGTTCCTGGAAGTGTATAAAACAGCAGCATAACAGTACCACTTTAGCAAACAAAAAAGCCACAGGAAAGCTACATGTCCTCAAAATGCTATTAAGGTTCTGACCTGAAGGAACTGTTAGATTTAAAGTCAGTTAAATGCTGCCTCCAAAGTTGCTCCAAATTTCCACAACAAAATTTCCACAGCAAGACCAGCCGATGACCAGCTCAGCTTCCTTATCTGTGCTGAACAGTTCTTCACTCCACAATAGAATATTTGTATAGCAACATAAAGAGTTATATGCTACTTTTACTATTGACTGCAGAACAGAGACTACAACAGGAAATAAACCTTAATGGGGAGGAAGATACTTTGAATGAAGCTATCACATTTGACTGAGCTTTCTTCGTAAAATACTAAAAGGTAATTTTTTTTTTCTCATGAAACTATTCCTTAAAATAACAGAGAGAGAAGTTTAACGAGAATTAACACTAAGTATAGTAAAATAGTCATGTGAGTAAATAACAATCAAGTTATTTATATTTGCTTACATGTAAAACTGTGATCCAAATCTGTTCTACAGAAGAAACATAACACAGCTTCACATTCAGTCTTCCAAAATCTCGTTCATCCCCTGATAATGTAATAGTATCTATAGAAGAAAGTCAGTTAGTGTTTTTAGAAGTAATACAGTATCTTAAAAGTTCATTCCAAGAACAAAAGAATTTATTAGTAGGTGGACTGCCTTCCTCTGAAAACTTCACTCAAACTAAGTTTGAAATATCTTAACACCTACATTTTAAAGACAAAATATCCACAAAGTCCTGCAGCCTGACCTTCTGGTGTAGCTGAAAGTTCTTCACATTTACCTTTGTTATCGCTGCTGCATTTAATAACTTGTGTTGTACTTGAACAACTTTTAGAAAGGAAAAAAGCATGTGCCTGAGACACTCAGATTTATAATTTATCACTTCTCTTAGATTAATCACTTCCACTGTTAAGTTTATAAATGGATCTGCTTCTCATCTTTCTCAAGATTTCAGTTCCAGACTAGTACGCATTTTACTATTATACTTTTCTTCAAGTCAGAAAAGCCATGTAATATCCAGCATTTCTCTGTCATGACTGAAACTATGTCATTGCCTCCCAGTCTTCTTTTTGAGGAGACTGTGTGAAATTCTGACTTCCAACAGGGTGACTTTTGTGCGTATCTAATTTTTGAGGGTTTATTTTGAAGTACCTCCACTTTTTCAGCGTTCTTTTCTAAGTAAGGATACTACGTTTGCATGGAATACTCTTGCCTAATTCTCAGTGTAATATGGGTTTTGTATTCCAGGCATTTCCCACAGGAAAATACTGATACCTGAAAAAGGACTATAGTTGTGACCAAGGTGCTGCATTCTATCCTAACAGAATGTCTGTAATTTTTTAGTTCACTGGGATAGTAAATCCACGGATTAATTTTTCAAAAGCATGAGAACTTCTCAACGGCTCATTTGCTCAATCTCTTGACAACAGGCAGGTACAAGTACAATTGTAAAGGAATCTCCAAACTGACTTGCTAATCAGATTAATCTCAAAAAAAACCCCCAAAAAGTCATAAACAGTAGAGACAGCTTAATGTTTCAAGTGTAAAGGGATATATCTCATTACAAGGTAAACAAACAAACCATTACCCAGACTCCTGTTACTGCCTTGAGAATCCTTCCTGGAAGAGGTACTACTAGGTACACTGGAGACTGAATCGTATCTCTGGGGGCAAAAAAAGAAGTCACTTTATTCAGAGCAACAGATGCAAAAAGCCAGAGAGATTCTACCATGATAAAAACTTGACACCCACTTTCAAATAATTGTCTCATTCCCTACTAATCTCTTGATCCAATAGCATGGAATTACTACTTTGATGCAAAACACTCATGCTGGGCACATACAACCAGCACAGATGTTTTTTTTGCTCATTGATATCTATATGCAGCTTCATGTAAAAGATGATTATGTGTGGAAAAAAAAACAGCAGTGGTTTTTTTGCATGAAATGGAAACTTCTAGTGCTCCACTTTTCAGCTGCTGGGAGAAATCACAAGATGACAAACCACAACCTCTAATCTGTTGTCCTGCCCAACAGCCTACTCGGGTTTCTCAACACCCTTACTGGGCCGGAATAGCAGTAGTCAAGGGAGACATCAGGAAAAAGCCTCCTGATGTTGGTCAAGACGCTGAACTTCTCCCCCTAGCCCTTCCAGTGCATAGTACAATGCCCGTCAGTGTTTACTTTGAAAATAAAATGCAACAGGAACAGATACACCAAGTAAGCTGAGTTTTCAGTATAACCTAAGTTAGAAGGGGAACTCACCTTCATGAATCGATGAGGTGGGCTTCTGAGATCAAACATTGAGCGACTGACATCAAATGCTCCAGGTGAAGTATTAGGTCTTAAATCACTAACTGAAAATCAAAAGAGAACAACACAAATTATGTAAGCACCATTGCTAGAAAAAGAAAATAGTTAGGAAGCTTTTTTAAAATCTAAATAGACCTATGGTAGAATTGAAGCTTAGCTAAAATACATCTAAGGAAGCATGCCAGCACCTTTCCCCACTTCTCTTTCCCAAAACACTCTCCTGAAACAACAAAATGGAGAGAATAAGCCATTAAAATATCTTTTCAATCTTTGAAATAATTCAAACTTGCTTGGTCACACTGGTAGCTAATACTCCCTAATATTTTTACAAAATTCTAGTTATTGATGAATTTATTTTTCAGCTTGCTTGTTGTTGTTGCTTTTTTTAGAATTTTTTTTTTTAATATGTAGAAGAAAGACCTCCCATGAAAATTCAAGATGCTTGCAATAAATCCTTCTAAAATAAACGTGTTCTGTAGTTCTAAGCCTGCACACATGAAAAGTATCATAGCACCTCCTGCCAACAAGTTAGGCTTAGAGTTTTGCTTAAATAGTCTACAGAATCATCTAGCTTTTGAAACAGCTGCCAAAGAACTCTGCAGGAAGAAGGCATTTAGTACTGTACTCTAGACACGCTCAGGTGACCTTCCTTGTATATAAGCTTACTAAGACAAAACCAGTGAAGTGTCTACTTAGCTTGAAGAAAAATGGAAAAAGAGAGGAGGAACTGAAGGAAAGATATTCAAGACAGTTTTATAAAACCCATTTGGCCCCTGCCACAGGTACTTACAAAGCCTAGCAAATCCACGTGCATTAAAGACTGCTAAAATTCTACGTGTGTTTTGTTCTCTTAAAAAAAAAAAATACGGAGTATTCTTTTCATGTAGTCTCTATGGTGATTCATAAAACAAGACACAGACTAAGACATTCCCCCCAGCTGTAAAGTCAGCATGATACACCATTCTAAATAAAACATCTTTAAAAATGCATGCTGTTGACAGCTTCTGATGCAATAGAGCGGTGTGTACATTTGGAGCGCATGAGCTTTCTGAGTGTGTTTGGCTTAACAATCACAGCAAGCAACACTGAAATGGCCTCAAGTTGCACAAGTGGAGGTTTCAACTGGATATTAGGAAGAATTTCTTCACTGAGAGAGTGGTTAGGCACTGGAAGGGACTGCCCAGGGAGGTGGTGGAGTCACCATCCCTGGAGGCATTTAAAAAACAAGTAGATGTAGCACTTGAGGCTATGGTCTAGTGGTTAGGGAAATGCTGGGATGATGGTTGGACTTGATGATCCTAGAGGACCTTTCCAAGCATGATGATTCCATGATTCTGTGATCTACTTTAAACAGCGTTCATTATAGGATACATATACCAATGAACAGCACAAAAGAAAATTTTTAGCTAGGTAGCCAAACACCTTCTATCTAAAGTTTTACTATCTCACAGTCCTCGCTTGTTCTTAAACACACTTCTATGTAATGAGAACTGGGGACATTTCTGCACCTTTGAAAGCAAACAAAAAAATGGCATATAGCATCACTTCCCATTTTGCACCTGTACTTACCATCTGCTCCTGAATGGTTTTTAGTGTGTGTTCCTTTCCCCACACACATACTCCTCAGGCATTCCTTCACTCAACGTACTGCCTGAGTTCCTTTTTCCATCCCCATCACTCTTATTATTGGTAGCTGGAATCTCCTGTACTGCATTCTCTTGGATCAGAGGCAGCTACATTAGCTTGTTTTGCCAATTTGTCATCTTTGTGTGATGCATGTAAGCCTTGTTAAGCCCCCAAATGACAGAAGAAAACAGCACAGCTGGAATTCAAGCAGAACTAGCTCCACAGATCGATTGACCAACCAAGAAGTGTCTGTAGTATATAGGCCGATAGTCAAACACCTTCTGTAGACTAATGGCTTTTTTCTCTCAGCTATAAGCCTTGGGAAAGGCAGAAAGACAGACAAGTAAGCATGTGGTCCTTCTCACCTGACCCATACAATTTCCTGTTATCTGCGGTTGCTCGGAAGCGCCTGATCAGGTCTGGCGAGAGGCGGTGCTCCAGGTAGAAGGGGTTGTACACGTCACAGCCGGGCCACTGCCACCCGCCCTGCAGCTCTGCCTTCCGCTCAGCAAAGGAGGCCCTGGCGGGTCCTGCAGCACAAGCAAACATCACATGCGAGAGTTCCAGACACAACACATGCTGTCTGTCTTCATAAGGCAGGCAGAATGTCTTCAGGGCAAAGGACAAAATATTTCAATATTATCTACTCCAGTAAAAGGAAAAAAAAAAAAATTTAAAGAAAACACACATTCTGTCAGACTTCAATAGTGTGCTAGCAAACACTGGAATTACATTTGTCATGAAAAGTTATGCATACCCTGGCTTAGAGTTCCACAACAAACGCTTAACTAGTTAAAATACAGAAGGCTCCAAAGATAGCAAGACAGAAATTAACAGGAAAAGTAGGGCCATGTGTACAACAGGCCTCTGACTTATGTGGCTACCTAGCCCCAGGACATTCCCACATGGCTAATGGGCCCCCAAACCATCAGGGGAGTCATCTATGGAAAGATAATGCAACTTGTCACTGCAGTGTCCTTGTCATCCAGTTTTCATAGGAAGTCTGTCAGTGGTAAAATTACTGGTCCAAAATGACTTGAATTGTTGGCTAAGGCACAAGTAGACAGATCTAAGAATGCTTGAATCCCAGCCCTTTACTCGGCCCATTACAGCACAGCTGCCCTGTTTTCCTTTACTTATAATTGTTTCAGAAAAAAACATGCACAACTTGGTCAGGAGAACAGTAAAGAACACTGCTGTAGTGCTTCATTTTGTCTGTCTGGAGTGAAAATAAGCCAGATATAACAGTACAGCAGAGAATGGGGATGGAGTGACCTGGACTCTGCCAAGCTCTGACGTTTGTGTTCTTCACCTCCCTGGAGTTCAACTTACCTGCTAAAAAGTTCTTTATAAAGAAATGCCTTTAATTCTGCAAGTGTGTGGCACCAGAAGAGGCAAACTATTATTGCTGTAAAATCCCTTTCTCCCAGTGTTGTTAGAGTAAGTAAAAAGGAGTAACTAAAACGGTGAGATGCAACATGAGAGATGATAAAGCAAGAACTCAAGTCTAACAGGCTTGAGCATAACGTAGATGGGGATAAATGAAAGCAGTCAGGCCATGGAGAACTGCTACGCAGCAGATGACGGAAGAGCCAGTGTTCCAGACCAGGAGCACACTTCTTCCTGCTAGCTTACTTCTGTGAGAGCCTGAGACACGCTGCAGTCAGGATTGAAAAGAAAGGCTGCCAGGACTTAATTGCTTTGAGAAAGGATGCCAAGAGCTAACACTGAGCATGTCCTGTTTCACTAAAGGAAAACAGTCAGACATGCACAGAAAATGGAGTGGAACTGAAATATCTGTAGAAGTCCAAGTTCTGCTCTAACAACCGTCTAAGAAACAAATAATCTAAATACATTTTTTGAATGTGCTGGTTCTTTGCCTAATGTGAAGAAGGAACGACAGCACACTTCACTGTATTTAGTAAATCTCCCTAAAAAGTAAACTTTGTATTTTTAAACATAACTTTAATGAGGTTTAAAAAGCTGTACTTTAAAAAGTATTTATATTTAGAAAGAGAAATGGAAGTTGCCTATTTGGCATGAGTTGCCTTTCAAATATTTGTTCAAGAATTTAAAATATTTGCTCAAGAGAGACAATTGTGAAGAGTTAGGTCATCGTGCCAGAAGGCTTTATAGCCTAAGAGCTACCCTGTTCACCGGGTCCTTCAGAAATGATGATGAAGCAGAACTCCCAATGAAGATAAGTCACTGGTTTGTAAGTCACTGACTGATAAGATTGTTTAGAACAGCATGAACAAAGGAAAGGCTGATAGACAAATCTTCCTTCTCCCTGGAGAACACTTTTGCCTCAGAGTCCTCGATAGACTTCTCTGTACAGCAACTCGAGGATGAGGTAGAACAAAGCAAGGCAGAGCCTGAACCCAGACCCAGTAAGAAAGAAGATTACCAGGAGCATGTCCTGCATTTCCCTACCTTGTCCAAGAATGGCCTTAGTAGAACTAGCTACTGAAGCAGCAGGCAAGTTGGGAGGCTGAAGAAGATCAGCCTCAGAGATGAGGAGGCCCTCACATGTTCTACCTCCAGCTATTAGGTTGCCTGTCCATGTCTAGTGAGGCAGACATCCCGAATAAAGCCCACTAAAATTATCAGGCACAGAATGCCCTATCTGAAAAGCTCTGCAAGGCTGATTAGCTTGGCTCTGGAGCAAGTGTTATCAGCAGAGGTGGGTGAGGATGAGGAGGAAGTTTGGTAATAGGCATACAAGAGGAGAAAAGCAGCAACAGCAAGGACCTAGGGAGAAGACAGAAGGGTGGGAGTAAAACCACACAAACTCAAAAAAGTTAGGTAGTACTGCATTAGTTATTATGCAACATGTAGTTGACTTTTTTCAGTTATTGAGTTTTCCATCCTCAGAAACTAAATACAGTCATGTGGGACTAAAAGCACATTACCAGCTTAGCATGTCCTTGAGGCAAAGCAACTCTAGAGAAAACAACTGTTCAGGTGTGCCCCTCTGCCAGAATTTTCTCTGGCCTAATTCTAGGCACCTCCTGGCAGGACCAGTAGCCTGGCAATAGCACATACCCTGTAACCTGATGCTCCTGGGCCAGGCTCCTATCCCTTTAAAATGCCACTGTACCTAAATTGCACATACATCATTTTGGCAGTCTGAGCATGGCAAACTAACTGGCAAAAGTTGAAGTACAAGAATGTCTTGAAGCAAAGGATCATAGTGCACTATGTATAAGTGCACTTATACTATACATAAATGCAATGTTATACCACAGGAGATCCATGACTCCTGGCCTCTCAAAGAGCAGGAAAAAGAGCGGGGAAAAAGTGAAGGTCTTCCTTGCCTCAAACAAATTCTTTATCCAAACTTCAGTTTCCTTTAAGTGTCTTCCATTACTCTGACTATGAGCACTGGTGTGCAATCCTTCCCTTTTGGTTTTATTCATGCAGCATCACAGAGAGTCATAGCGGGATGACATCCTTCCCAAAACCTCTCTGTGTGTCCAATGAGAAAAGAAATGACAAGACTTCTAGAAAAGTTCTGTCAACGTATGTTTTCAGTAGGAATACTTGATGACTTTGAAGCGGAAGCTACACAACTATTTTCAGCAATGCTGTTTATGTTGTACCTTGAATCCCTCCATCATGTGAGACACTGGGTAAGTTCTTCGGCTGTACATAAGCCAGTTTGAATGGAGGGACCACAAATGGTACCTCCTGACCATCCAAGGGCAGTTTAGAAAGTAGATAATCCTCTGAACAGCCAACCTGACGATTCACTGACACAGAAGACAATGGAGGCTTCTCTACAATAGTTGGCTTGCTTGCAGCTACTGCTTTAGATTTTTGCACCATGGAAACAGCTAAAAATAAAGAGCAAGAAAAACAGTCCATATGTGCATTAAGTTTTGAACAATACCATAAACTGATCTCTTTTATTTAATAGGATCTATGCTTGATACATAACAGCTGCTAGTATTCAGTTTTAACAGCATTCAGGACTAGCACCTGGAAAAGAAATTCATCTTCATGACATCTGTACTGATCCAAACTCTTTGCTGCCCAAGCTTCTATATTTATAGCTACCTTGCTCTTAAGTAAATTTTTACAAGAGAGTAAAAAATCACAGAAGCATTCTTCAAACAACTAAGACACCAAAAATCCTAACAGTAAATCCACAGGGCGTTAAAAACAAAAACAAAAAAAGTCTTCACTCTTAGTTTGAAAGATACAAGACCTTTACACAACCTTGGGTAAAAAAGCCGGCTTTTTTGGACAGCATTCTAGGCTGCAAGGAACATACTTCAGACAAGTGTTATTTTTCAGGTCCAATTCCAATTCATAACACTAACAAGCACACATTTAATCTCCAAGTGGAGGTATGGAAAGAATTTTCAATGTTGTAAAAGAATTCAAGTTTATCAGAGGTGACAGAGTAATTTTATTAATGGGAAATCTCAATATTAATGAAGCCACAACAGCAAAACCCTTAGTTGATGTCATTAAGTCAGAACTCACGATCACTTTTTTCTTTCTCCATGCAGAAACACCATTTACAGCAGTTTTTTATACATTCAGTTGCCATGACCTTCAGCGTTGCAATTTAGAGGAGACCACAGTCAAAGCTCCAGTGTAGTTATCAAACCTGGAAAACACAATAAACCAAGTAGATGGCAATAACTAAAATCAAAAAGCAGTATTAGCCCTTACTCAATATGTAAATTGCTTTTGGACCCAGTCCTAGGGTCAATGAGAAAGTTATTTCAGTCATAGAAGGATCAGAGCCATCAGATTTGTCTCACCGAGATGCATTTTATTATGTAAAGACACATGGAAAGAGACCACCACTTTAATGCACAACATCCAAGAACTTTCAGCAACGCACTCATACAGGTCCCTGTCTTTCAGAGACACAAATTCTCCTCATATTTGTGTGTGCCACTGGGTTTCGGAGTTTACTCAGCTTTACAGATGTTTAGATGTGGTCTTGTCAACTCATTAGCTTGTGTGTTTTATTCTGTTTCCCTTGTTCATGTTTCTCCTATCCTCTTTCGCTCATGTACTGTTTCCACACACATCCATAGGCGTTTACATTTTTCACTCAGCATACTCCATACTTTACATTCGAAAACACTCTTTATGAATGATGCCAAAATTGCCTTCTCTGAGGAACTACTGCTTTCTCATAATTGTATACACATGAAACTGAAGACCTGTTTTATTATATAATTGTCTGCTAGGCATACAGAAATAGTGCTGACTTCCAGCAAAATAAGAGGCATGTAATCTACTAAAGAATGAGAACAAGTCTCTAACAGCTGGTAAACATTAAAACAACTTTATGACAATACTAACTGGCCTCATTTAAATGTCTTTATTCATATCCTTATGTTCTCTTTTTAGAGGGACACAGACAGCTGTGTTGCCTCTTGTCCAAAACTTTAGCTATGTCTAGTCCTCTTACATTCTACCTACAGTACACAAGGTTCTTTGTAGAATATACACCAGACATGATTCTAACTTCATGGACCTTAGAAGACTGCTAGCAAACAGAACATGAACAATAGCTGAAGGGACAGAGAAGACAAGAAGTAAGAGAAAAGGGGAAAGCGTGGAGAGATGACAATTACACAAAAATGGACACATTTTCTCAGTTATCTTAATCATGAGAACTTGCTGAAAGCGTCTGTGCTCCAGCACAGAAGCCATTCCCACCTGCAGCTTGAACAGTCCTGTTTTCTTTGCATACGTAGTCAACGACAGCTACCAAAATTAACAAAATGCGGGTGATCTGAATATAAAAACCTCAGAAGTAGCCTGAATGTTGGTACATGTTATTCTGGAAAACAGTTTGCTACAGGAGAGATGACAGAATAGTCTCTAACCAGACAGTGCAGGAGTGCAATATCCCACTTTAGAAGGGACACCATTACTATGCACAGAATCAATCACTCAGCACTTGTCCTGATGTCAAAATTGCCCATGAGCATATGAGATCCACATCGAAAATCTACAGAGGTGACTCCAGAACCTGCTCTGCATCTTTACAGAAACACAAAAAGAGGCACAAGAATTCCTCATTAAATTCCCCACATTTCTAAGTATCAAATTTTGCCCGCTGCTCCACCCTCAGAGGCACACTCAAGATAGCTAAGCCTGCTAGAATTCAAGGTTTACTTTAAGGTTCCCTTGCAGTCATTTTCCTTCCCAGCTGTTATCAGCACACAGCTGGAGTTCATATGCTTTACTCTTGCTCACCATGTTTAAACTGGGCTGACACAGCTGCTTCGTTTGCTCTAAGCTTTGCAACAATGGTATCTAAGCCTCAGTGGCAGTTTGCGCAGGCAGAAGTCTTTTATCTCAAAATCTCCAGATTGAATTTATTTGCTACTGCTGGTGAAGAAACCAGAATGTCAGTAACCGCCCTGCTTTCCAGCTACATAAACTGGAAAAAAATCAGTGTTTCTGCATCAGAGAAAATTCAGTTTATGGTACTATTTTCTTTCCCCAGAACTGTTTTGCTGGAACCGTGAATGTGAGCAAATAAACAAAGGTAAATCATCCGTCACAAGCAGCTGCCTTTCCATTATGGGGTTGAGTGCCTTACCTGGAAAGAAAGGGCTACATAAGGGTATTGAGGTTAGAATAGTAACAGTGCAATTCTACATCTTCTGTACTTCTGTCACTAAAAAAAGACAATATTTTTCACAGTAAGACCAAGTATTGTGTGATCGCCTTTGACCATTACCTTTTCTTCCCCATTTATCAATATGCAAACTTTCATAGTTTTTCTTTTCCTACCTGAAGGCAAATATAAAATGATTCATCACTGCCTAGTGTACAGAGGAGAACACACTGTTTACAGATTACTGTTTGGTAGGCAAGGCAATAGCCATACCCAATGCCAAAGCATATAGACACATAGCCTAGAGTTTCCAATTCAGTTTCAGCTTAAATACAGTATTTTGAAAAGAAAGTTCCAAGAATAAGCAACTAGAACACTGTTTACACTTTTTTTAAGCTTAAAAATGTGATGGTTTTAGTGACAGAAATTTTGCTGACACAGGCACAGCACCACTAGAAAAACTAACACCATTTGCTGAGGGGCAGATCATCTAGATACAGCTCCCCCTCATTCTGCTTAGAGCACTTTGCTTTGTTGGTGAAATCACAACATGGATGGTCTCAATTACTTTTTAAAGTTTTAATTCACTTAATTAAGCTATGGAGATTAAATATTTGTTTGCTTTAGTTCTGAAGAGCAATCCTGGCACTAAATTTGATGTCTTGGCTCCCAGTTAATTTATTTTCTCATATCTGTATTTCCCAAGTTGCCTTTGGTTAGTTATACAACTTTCACTGCATGCAAAAGTTCTGTCTTAACCATGTGGGACAGAGAGAAATTTAGCAGGTTCAGTTGTATGTTCTACTAACTGAAAAGGAACAAAAATCTTGTAGAAGATTAAACAAGTATTTAATGATCTTGACAGAAGTTGACATTTCTATCAAAAGTTAAACTTCTGCCACGTGCCAGAACCTTTTGCTGGTGTCAGCTACCCCAAAATCCTCAGTGCATCATTTAACAGTTGGTGTAAGGTTATACTAATGTGCATTTGTCTGGGAATTAATTTAACAAACAAACCTGAACCATACAGACCTTTGTTAGGTGCACCACCAAATTCCAAAGATGTACTGACCTTCCAGCAATGCCATCCATCTTATCAAGAAGTTAGGACTCCTTGTATCTATCTCTAAGTTTTGGGGTTGTTTTTTGTTAGGCAATATGCATACATGAAAGACATCCTCCATTTGGGGTATATTAGACTAAGAAAAGGTTAGGAAGAAAAGGAGAATTATCCCCGATTTTCAGACAAAATAACTGATATAGAGAAATCAAGTCACTTGCGGCAGAAGAGGGAACTGAACCCAGATCTTGTCACTCTGTCTCAAATTCTCTTTCTTGGAGTTTTCCACCGATTTCAGTAAGCCTTCTCATTTCTCTCTTCCTAGTATCATGCCAAAATATGATAATCAAATGTAACTCCGAAATAGTCCTTCCACACTAAGGCAAAAGGAGAGCCAAGGTTATTAGAACATCCTGGAAACAACAATTTTATAAACCAACCACACACATACATAGAGCCTAGAGAATTACAGTCAATACTATTTTAATGGGTTTAGATGGAGAACATAAATTAACGTAATGATTTCCAGATTCTCCGATAGAAATTTTGAATGAGCTAAAAATCAGATAAACAGAGTATCAAAGACTTCAGTTCCAGATGCCTCCAGAATGATTACAAGACTGAGATGTTTGGAGAAGAAAGTAAGTATTTTCAACAACTCATTAAATAAAAAGAACATGATAGAAAATGGATGATCATAATATTAAATATTAAAAGCTGAAAGCAGTCTGAAGGGAAATGTCAGGTCTTTGCTGCCTTATGATGAAAGGGTGTGTTTTGCAAGAAGTTTGTCGGCTGCTGATGTGTTTTACCGCTTTTAGTCACAGCACTGCTGCATAGGAGTTGATCAGGTAACACGTTGAGAACTACGCAATAGACACAAAGGTGAAAGAGCTGATCCCAGACTGGAAAAGCTGGCTAGACCACAGGCTTCAAATGTTATGAGATTTATTACCAGTCATAAATGTATAAAATACATTCTCAGATCTATGTTCCAGAAACACATCACCGCAAAATTTCTAGTAGCAGTACGTCCTCACAAAGCGGGAAGTGTAAAAGAAAATACCCGGAAATGGGGATGATCAGGTGGTATTAAGCTTTTGGGACAGGTCCTTGAATGACGTAAGTGTCTACAGCTCCAGTAGCCCCAGTGGAGCCATGACATTTTGCAACATCTGAGCATCCGCCCTGTGGAACAAGTGAACTCAAGCTTGTCAGTTCACACTTCAGCCAAACACCATTTTTATGCTACCTCTGTGCCTTTCTGCCTTTCAGATCCAGGAGGTGTTGTCAATCCCAGCCATATAAATCCTTCAAAGACCATAACAGTACCACTGTAGGTCCCCCAGATGTTTAACAAAAACAGAGCACAGCAAAAGCTGCTTCTGCTGCAGGTGAGATGGAGTCTCGTTTGACAGTGCAGATGCTGCAAAAGTTTTAACTTGCACAGCCAGCTGCTTTGCACTTTTGTTTCTGTGCCAAAACGTCTGGGAGGGGTGGCTTGTGACCACTGCATCTCTAAACCAGTCAACACCAGTAAAACAGCTTAAGTGGTTTTGAGAAATTGCCTCCAGGTACTTTGCTACTGTAGCACAAAGCACTGGATCACAAAGGGGATTCTGAAATGACACAACAGAAAAAGGGTAGTTACAAGGTTTTTGAAGGACACAACCAGAAAGGCTTTCTTGTGAGAGACATCTTACAAACAATTTGACAGACACATAACGAAGAGATGTAAATCTCTCCCAGTGCAGCAAATTAATGAAGAAAAAGTGTAATTACATATTTAAAACTGAAAAAAAAAAAAAAAAAAAAAAAAAGACTATGTACCATCAATGTAGTTTAGATGATGGGGATTTTATGATGGACTACTGCACAGCCTTCCTGGGGCAAAGAGCCT